TCGTATTTTTTAAATAAACATGTTTTTTGTAAAAAATTTTGTTTTCGTTGCCAAAAAGTCCCAAAAAAAGTATCAATAAAATGGTGCTACCAAAAAGATTAAAACTATCATAATTTTATTACATTTATTTAACTCCTATGCACAGCAAGGAGGAATTATGATACCATAGACCTAGACTGATCAGTTCGCAAAGAATCATTTCAGTCTTTGGCACAGAAGCTACTACCTGTTTGCTCTGTGCTCTTAGACATGTAATTAGTACACCTTTCATCCACGCGATGGCGCCATAATACAAGTTAAAAAATTTTAAAATTAAATTAGACGTTGTTTAAAAGTATCGTCTTTTCAACATTTTTCTACTAAATATGGGGGGGGGGGGGGGGGCAAAATTCCCCCCCCAAAGGGGAAAAACCCCGGGGGGGGCCCCCCCCCCCCAACCCCAAAAAAAAAACCCCCCCCCCACCCAACCCCACCCCCCCCCAAAAAAAAAGGGAGGGGGGGGGGGGGGCGCCCCCCAACCAACCACCCAACCACCACAACCATCGCTAAAGAAATACAGTGCTACCAGTAAAACCCCGCCAACGGTGTATAATTTTAATAAGAAGCGGTCGATTTGGTGATAGTTCAATATATTGTCAATAGATGGCGAACGTTTGAAATTTCTGCGAATTGTTTGAACTTGTTTTGATTGTAGACGGCTGTGGTTGTTTTTATCGACAATCAAAATTTTCAGTTATTATTTTGTTAAAGACTTTTGTGTTGTGTACTTTGTGGGTTCAGTTACATTTAATCATCTTGATTTCCAGAAAACATCTAAACCTGCAATTCAAAACGTGAGTACAATTACAATTCCTTGCATTTATAGATTGTTTATTTATTGTTTATACTTTAATATACGTACCATAACTTGATTTTTTATGGTATACGTAGGTACCAGCAATGATGTAGTTACTTACATCATCGTACCAGCTATCTATTTACATCTCTTACACAAATACCTTTCGCTTAAGAAAAATCAGTTGTCATCTACCCGTAATACAGCCAACACAGGTACCTTTTTGTGTATTTTTCTGAAACAGAGGAGGTATAGATACATTTTTTTATACTTATTCATCTGTTATTCTGTATTTGAGTATTTTGTACCTTTGCAAAATCTCCAGTCATATTTTATGCTCCTCTTTTTCAAAACACCAAGATGCATGTGTTCCAAATTTAAATACCTATTTCAAACCCTGTCTTACAGCTAAAGATATGGGCCATCTGGTATGGCCTAGAGCGCCTGCGAAGCCATTTTATGTATAAATATAATATTTATAAAAAAACAGAATATTATAAAAACTCTTACATTAAAAATTCTATAACAATAAGATAAAAAACAAGTATCGTAATACATAATTTTGTATCAAAACAACATTATATAACACAATTGGGTAGGTACCTACTTGATTTCTTACCCTTCACTCACTAATGATGTAAGTAAGGACTTTTACCAAATTAAAGTTTTAATTAAACAGGGCACAATTAATATTACTAAAACGACGCGACGACGCGACGCCACGCGACGCCGCGACGCCGCGACGCGACGTCTAGATAAAAAAGTTTAATATTTTTTAGTGTTGTAGGTAGGTACTCGTAAAATCCGAGCTTAAATCTAATATGTCTATTTAACAGACGTCAAACGCTCCCGGGCCGGGCTAACTTGATAATAATTGTTTTTATTAGTCGGATTTTCATTCGCGCGAATTGAAATTTTATTTGAGATGGATTTAAACGAGACATTTCGCCGAAGGTAATGGTTTAAATCTTAAGCGAGGGCAATTGAATTAGGAAACCGTCCTAAATGGCCGAATTTCAGATGAGTCTCGGGACCGCTAGCAATTAAAACAGCCTAATAAGAGGTTATAAGGGTAAAATTAATTATTATTAGCACCATAGGCGGGTACCACACACGGGCGGTGGGGGCCACTGTTGAATATATATTACGATAAACAAAATGTTTATGCTATACATCTATATACCTTCTATAGAAAACAAAGTAAATAGCCTAATTAAACGTTATTTTCGTTTTAAATAATGCAAAACAAAAATAAACACGTCTAAAATTAATCAAATTTAATGTATGACCATTACAATTTGCAAAAACAAACAACAAATAAAATAAATAAAATGAAAGATGATGAAAAAATATATAAATACAAAATATACACCTGCTTATTATAAACCTACGCCTACAGTATGTACCAGTACGAGTATTTACAGAACGTTCACGACAAATTACCTAACTAATGTTTCTTTTTTTTAACAAAATTAAATTCTATAAAATCTGCACCTGTTTTAATGGTTCTCAAGACTAGTAAAGCCTATTACAGACTATATTTGGTGTTTCATAATGTTAATAAACTTCTAATACTTCCTGTTTACTCGTAAGGGTCATATACTTGGTAATAGTTATGCTGATATTGGTAGGCTGAAATAAAAAGAAAGTAAATATTATTATTTATAGTCATGACCCATTGATTCTAGCAAAAGTAAAGTTCCCACAAGCTGTTAGAGTTCTTTAATCTACGCTAATATAGCTTTAAATTTAAACTAAATTAAGTCAACAGAAAAAATACACAGGGCGAACTATAAAAACAAATATCAGATCTTCAAATGTTATGTGTAGCCCAACACCAGTACCAACTGCTCGATCAACCGTTTTCTTCAGGTATAAATAAATTTTGCACAGCTTGGCAACAACTTGGTAAATGCTAGAGCTTGTTTAAACTATTATATACAGGGTGCCCTATATTATGTATTATTTATTTTCAAGATAGACTACTTAACGAATACGTATAAATGCGTTTACATTTAGTCCATCTTGGAAATAAACACACTTTTGGTGTATTGTTAGCCATTGCGATGTTGCCATATCGTGCAAAATTTGACTGTATCTACGAAAACTGTAAAATCGGTTTCATGTCATCGTTTACGATTTCAGGTTAGAAGCAGTCTAATAAATTGTAAGTCATTGTTAGTCCACGTTACACCCTAGATCGTTACCTATCGAGTTACGTCAGTCTTTTGGGTCCGTTGGGGCCGATTTCGTAAGCCACCGATCTGACAACGTCGTAGGTCGCGTTGGGGTTTCGTTTCTGTTTCGTCCTTGTAGTACTGCTGGGTCTTTTGGACGACGACGGTCTCTTCGAAGAAGTCTTGTGTCTAGTCTTGCTGGTGCCAGGTCTCGTATAGTAGGCCAGTTTGTTGGAAGAGGTGGCAACGTGGCTGGGATAGGGCGCGGGCAGAGCGTACTCTTGCTGATAAGGAGTTGGACTCGGCTGGTTTTGGTAGTTTTGGAACGATTGCGGACCTACGTAGTCGGTGGAGGATACATCGTTCGTCTGGGAGTGTTGGTAATCTGATAGGTCGATTGGTTGGGAATAAATGTTAGTCGGTTGGTCTAGGAAGCTGGCTGGGAGTTCCCCGTTGGATTGCGGCAAGGCTGCTATGCCAGGAAAGGTTGCTATTCCAGGGAAGCCATTTTGATAATCGTTGATGTTAGGCAGGTCATTTACGTTACTCGCGTATAAGTTGTAATTTTGAGGAAAACTACCAGTTGGAACTAACGAACTGGATAGTGATTGTGAAATCGGGGTTGGAATTTCAAAGTTCTGGTTGGTATCTGGAGTCTTGGGAGAATCCACCTCGACACTAGGCTTGCTATAAGGTTTTTCAACAGTCACCGAACCAGGTTTGGCAACATTTTGGGCCTTCTTCGAATCAGATTCTTTGTATTCATCTAGACCTTGCTCTAAGTAACTAGGTTGCTTCTCAAAAGGGGTGTCATCGTCGCTCTCAGGTTTTTCAATCTTCTTATCATCGTTGACGACGTACCCACTAGCAACGGGTTCGACCTTCTTCTTATAAACGACCGGAGCTGATTCCGCGTGGTAGATATGAGAGTCGGAATGGTATGGAGTCGGGGAATCGCCGCTGGCGGTATTGCCAAACGGTTCAGGTTTATGGGGATCCAAGGTAGAGGAGGCCGAAAGGAATTTGCCGATTATAGCAGCCCAGCCGGGATCGGCTGATTTATAAGAGTGCGATTTGGATTCTTCAGCTATCTGGTGGTGGTGGTGGGAGGAGTAGTGTTTTCCACCTGGTATTTTCTTCAGGATAAGTAAGCCTTGGGTGTTTGGTTGGTCGTCTTTGAAAAGTAAAAAAAAGTCAGTCATTTGATGGTCACAGACGCAAGGAGAAACAAAGGATTGTTTGCTTTCTAGTATGATATATTACAATTTTTCGGACGTTGACCTTAAACAATTTTATACGGACGCCTATGGCTATATAGTAGCATTTTTATTGTACAAGTCTTGAATAAATTAATAATTGTCATTGTTGATAATGTAAATGACAATTCCTGGTTAAAAAAACACATTCTTTTGTTGAATATAAGGATTAAAGTTTGTCTATTGGTGAAGACTTTCGTTTTTCGTAATCGTAAATTTCAAGTTCTTCTAACCGAGGGAGAAAGTTCGACCTGTTGATCTTGACAGTGAATGGGTAAATACAATTAAGCGTTCTAAATGGAATAGATAATGGGTGTGCATTGTTTGAAACAACGAGTTTAGTAGGTACCTACTTATAACTAGGTATAAAAAGGACATGAAAAAAACAAAACGTACTCATGAAGTTTTAAGGATGTCTCCGTTATAAAGATTAAATTAATCATGCTACCTACTCTTTTATATTTGCAATGTAAGTAAAAAATGACACACTGGTTATCAAAATTGAATTGACATTTTGTTATCATCATTAACTATAGGTACCGAAAAATAACGGATTATTGCAATATTCAGTTTGATATTTGTCATTACCACACTAACATGTCAGGATTGTTAGGTCTTAATATCAAATTCCCAAATTTAAAAGTTAAAAGTTCAACACTCGTCATTTAGCATCGACTTTGCTAGAACGCCACGTTTATTAATATACAACCAACGGAAAAAACGTTTCTCATGGCCTCCGTGGCGCAATTGGCTAGCGCGTTCGGCTGTTAACCGAAAGGTTGGTGGTTCGAGCCCACCCGGGGGGCGTTACTTTTTTTTCTTCCCAACTGTTTAAAATTCATCATAAATAAACATAACGCAAGATTTTATGGGGTAAATTTCATTGTAACGAAATAATTTTGTCCAATCATTGAAAAAGGATTTATCGCGACCTTAATAATTAATTTGTTTTTGTTTACCCAGTAGAAGGAAGGGTGTATTTTACTTATAAAAATAGACATGACAAATAGCAACGGAATTAATAGTAGGTATTTTTTTTATTTTCTTGTGTACGTGCAGATACCTATGCACTTTTCAATTTCAATGATTCACATTTTAAAAATAACAGTTCCGTTTTTGTTTATTTCGCGGGTTGATCATCTCAAACCAAAGGAAAGACGTCATTAGCAATGTGTGTACACGATACATCCTCTCGGTCCCTACACACGCCGATACGTATTTAGGAAGCCACCGATTGCATTCCGAAATTTTCGTAGGTAAACAGTGGGCTTGACTCGATGATGACGCACGTGATCCTTTTTTAGGCGTCTCGAGATAGAGGCACGTCAATAGATAGGTCTAGGTACACGGTTTTCGCTTTTGGCGATATAATGCAATGTATGCATCCCAATTCATTTTGATGTACCACACGCACCTTGATCGCATATCATTTTTATTCCCTGTACACTTACCGTCGGAATATGGGGGGCCGGATGGGTAGTGCTCAGGTTGATGGTATTCAGGTCCGGGCGCCGAGTGGGATCCGTGGTATATGTCTTCTGGAGCGCTCGGGGCCGAGTAATGGTGAACGGGCGGGCCGTATTCTAGATAAAAAAGATTAGGTAGTCCACGATTAAGATACTAAAATATGCAAATAGTGTTTCAAAAGAGAAGGTAACCACTGGGAAGATTTCCTAAGAGAGATCTAAGGGAGGTCCAAGGTAATACAAGGAGATTTGGGGAAATCCAAGATATGGGGGAATTCTGACCCAGCTCTTTACGATTGAACATTATGCATTAACCGACGAAAAGTGATGGGTGCATCAGACAGCCCGAAAGACATTCGACGGATTAGTTTGTATATTTGTAGATACTTTGTTATATAATATTATATAGTTTCTATATGCTTGAAAATCTATATCTGGGTGGGGATGTTTAAGGTTGGACATTGTTATTATGATATAAAAATTTATAAAGCCAATATTAGGTATAGCTACCTATTGTTTTTCTTTATAGATCTATGTCAATTACGAAATATCGTAATAACTGATTTAATTAATATTATATAACATATTATACTATATTAAATGCAAATATGTAATGTTTATTCCAATATTAATTAAAAACATTGAATCATATTCAGCGTGTCTCACGTGAAAATGCACATTACCCATGGATTGTTATTCAAAACACCTAGGAACTAGTCCTACAACAACTGAACTCTTGTCTGCCAAAAAGAAATACGACTTCGTTATTTCAAGTCGCAAAAGCTAAAAAAAGATTGCCGTCTATTTAGAAACATTTGAACGTGAGTAAAAACGGAGCGTTTCGAAATATAATATGCATTAATCGACGAAAAGTGAGGGGTGCATCAGATAGCCCGAAAGGCATTCGACGGAATAATTTATAAGTAAATATAAAGAAAGTTCATTGTCTGTAGGGTTCCTTACCTGCATGTCCAGAAGAGGAGTGTCCGTTGTACGGCACCAGAATGGCCGAAGCAGCTATGTTCTTCCCCAGCTGAGTGACGGCCTCCCCCTTGGCACTGACGAGTTTTCCCTTGGCGCTGATCAGATGACCGCTGCCCTTGATCAGCTGACCTTTGACCGCGATGACGCCTCCTTTTATGGCTTTGACGGCTTGCAGGAGGGTATTGAGGATGGACTTTTTCAACGTCCAGAAATCGAAGGACTTGTGGTCGTAACTCTGGAAAAGATATCGCATTTATCTAGTGAGCTTAAATAGGATAACAAAACGGTGCGAGCGTGGTGATAAAGGGGGCGTCGATGTTGATTTATGGCTATAATTGTAAAATTTTGGCGGGAAATAACGGCCTGGTGAAAAAGGGTCCGAAAAGTCGTCTTGTGTGAATCGACTTGATGTTTATAAACACTGATGTCTTCGTTTTGTTTCGTCAATAAACCGCGGTTTAACATACCTCTGGGGCATAGTGATGCTGGGGATAGCTGTACTCGTGATCGCTGTATCCGTGACCGCTGCTGCCGCTGCTCAGCTTCGCAGTGGCCGAAGCTGAAGCATGAGCTACCTGCCCTATCTTCTTTTTAATACCCTGTCCTATGGCGTACTTCAGGGAGTCGAGTATGTCTCCAGACCCCGATCCAGACCTGGGGAATAAAACATAACCTCAATTATAGCAAGGCAATATGTCGATGAGGTTTAATTTTAAAGCACGGTAGCTAGACGGCAGTTAATTATTATTAATAATACCTATACCTTTTTGGCCGTTCACTTTTGTGGTATAGATGATCTAGTTCTTTTCTTTCTGCCGGCGTGATATCATCTAAGCTGATTATTTCTAGGGGTGCTCGAATGGCTGAAGTCGAGGCCTCTTTGGGGAGGAAAGAGTAGGTACATGCCAGCAGTAAAAATACCTAAAAATAAGGCAAACATTGCAATGACAGGTCAAACCAGAAAAGCCGTTTCCAGTAAATAAAACCAATTGGAAATTCTACGAATGCTCATCAACTTTCCCTATATATCGATATTATTTATAACGAGCTTTCATAAAGTGAATATATGATAAACCATATAGTACGGCGCAGCTGCACCTTACCTGTGTTACCTACTTTCAATTTATGTATTTCCAGTTGTCGTCATAATAAACCGGATAAAATGCTACCATTTCATAAACTAGGTATAGCCCGGCAGTTTGATATGCGCCAAGAAAACAAGAATAAATAAACGAAAGTAACCGACGAAAATAATAACACTGACCAATTTGCCGGCACTTCGTATTCGTTCATGGTCAACGCTCTTTCGCGCCAACGGAGAAAGTAGCTTGCATAAAAAAATACTACTTAAAAGTGACATATAAATGTAAACTGTCGCTTCTTTCGAATGGCACGTTGTTTCGCCAGACTACGTTCGTATTATTCGGAGACAATATGAATACTTTTCAACTAGGAAAAAATGTTCTTTTCAATGGACACACGACATATATTATATGACATATGCGTACCAGAAAGAACTGCAAAGTTTCCGGATTCCGCAAGTCGAAAAACGTATTCATGATTCTAGCGAACGTGACGGGTGCGTTTGGTAGACCGAAAGTCATTCGGATTTTTTTTATACTGGCCGAATTTCTACTCTTATCCGAATAATTCGTCTTTAATAAATCAAAATTGACAAATCGTTGGGAAGTGACTAATTATTCCTATTCGGTGTCAATCATTTCTGATTTTAGGATGACGTTTCGTAAGGAAATAATACACCTTGCATGTTATACAATAGTTATAAAAAAATAAATATTATAAACTCGCCTTTCATAATATAAAATTATTGTTATAAAAAACATTAGGTATTTATCTTAATCTAAAACATGTTACTTTCGCGTGCCTAAATCAATTCTGTCTAATGTCACATTTTAAGTAGAAAGTAGATAAAACTAATTCTCTCATAGATGTTCGTCAATATGTATGCGTTTAGACCGTAGATTAATCCAGGGATTTAAATCCTCACTTTAGTAACAATGAAATTAAAAAATTGGGCAATTTTAAAATGCCTATTACTTTGTGTATTTTGACAACAAAATTAAATAAAATTTGTTAATGCATATACATTGCAATATATCCACACAAAAGTCAGACTACAGTTTCATAACGTTTAAGTGGTTTTTAAATATATATTGCAAATGGATGATCTTTAAATATTAGCATATTAGTAACATTAATAGCAGCTTTTACTTCTTTAATTTCTATGCCACTGTACGTTTTTAAAATCGTTTTGTTTGTTCCTGGTTAAAAATAAATAAGTACTACTGTGTTGGTCTTTTAATATAAATTATTAAGAGACTATTGAAAAACATGAGAAATAATTTGGTTTGGTTTTAGTTCTCATATTTTATCGAGGAAACAAAATGACTACTGGATATTTATTTTTCTGTTGTCTTCAATATATATCATGGATAAAATATAAATAAATCATCAAGAACTATGGATTTTGCTCGAGATTTTGCTGCTGTAGCAGCAAGTGTATTTTTTTAATAGCCGTGGAAATAATTGAAATGGTAACCTTCTAGTGGATTAAACAACTTTTTAATTATAAAACACCAAAAGCGTCAAGGCTTATTTGCATATATGCATGTGACGTGACGTGAATAGGAAGTTTTGTTTGAAAAAAATCCACCGTCTGTTTCTGACACTCCATTATGATAAGCGCGGGAATGAAGTGGTATTAAACTTTACTAATGAGGGGATATTTGCTAGATCGAGTCGGAATCGTAACAAGTCTTATTGAAAGAGTTTATCAAAAAAACATGTCAGTCTCTCCCCTATAGCTCCATCCGATTATGTTCATTTTTTATACTTATATCCCTATATGTAAGTCCTTACAGTTATAAATATATTTGGTTCATTTATATATGTATATATCTGAAAATGTATTCATCAGTCTACCGAACGTGGGGGGGTGTATTTTATATACCGAAAGGTAGTCGATAAGCAGCCTGCTTTTTATTATCTTGTTGATCGTTATTTTTAAAAGTACATATATCTTTGAGTTGGTAGGTGTGAAATATATTGTTCTAGTGGGTTAAGTTTTTTACGTAAATTATGCGGTTTGACAGCGATCGATAATTAAACTATTTCAAACATTCAGGAAACATACGGCCAGATTTCTAATTATAAGATGCGTGGTAGTTTTACTGCGTTTTTTCTTAAGTAATCGAAAAGAAATTAGTTCGTATAAAATACCTAGTATATGATTCCAATTGTTCTCTTTTGCAGCAGTATTTTTCATTGATGTAAACGTATGAATGAATATTTGGCGTGTCACGATTATGGAAAATTCGAGTTAATAAGCAGTCCGGT